TTTGTAATTAGAATACATAAAAATAGTATATTAATTAGGGTTAGACGAAGATGGCAAAGAAAGAAATAAAGAAAGTGTTATGGAAGGCAAGTGAAAAATGAAACGAAGAGGAAGGAGATGATGGAAAGGTTTTGACCAATTCTTTTAGTTGGTCGTCAATACAATAATCAACCCTTTTCACCGTAGCAATTTATTGACACTTGCTTATGTAGATGTCACATATTCTGTTACATGTAGTTAGTTGACGTTTGTTTAGTACCCTATAAAATGGAAATGTACTAAATGAATTTATAAATTTGCTCTTGCAATATTTTAGAGTCGTCTCGCTTTTATCATACATTTAATGTTTCACATAAAATGGTTGAATCTTCTTTTACAGATGAGTGATACAACATCTTGTATGGTACAAATTAAATTTATACTTTTATGTTATGGTGGATTGGATTCATGGATTGGTTCAAAAGGACTGGTGGATGATTGGATTCATGGATTCAAGTGAAATCTAAATATTGGACCAATATGTAAATTTAAAAAATGTAAGTACAAAAATCTCATAAAATTTAGATACCAAAACATAATTGTTCAATCGTTTTACATTAAAATTAAATTTGTGGTATCGAAATGTAAAATGTATATTATCGTGATTAATTTGTAATTTGTTAGGTAGTGACTAATTTGTAATTTATTTGGCAACCGTAACCAAACTTCATCTTCATATATATATTGATATTAAAGGTTCGGTACTTTTTTTATGCATATTAAAGCCACTATGTCCATCTGATTTTGGTACACATAGTATTGTATTTTTATTTAATTTTGCATTATGTGCTTATTGATTTGTTTCGTTGTTTTGTTATAGGAGTGATGAAAGAAAGGAAAACTGGGAATCTATTTGCAAGAAGCTTATTAACTTGAAGTCCGTGCAAAAGTTACCAAATCATCTTCGAAAATTAGGCTGCAAATGAGCCAAGCTGAGCTGAGCCGAGTTTTACCCAAGTTTGAGCTTGACTCGTTAACAAATGAGCTGAGCTCGAGCTCGAGCCCGAGCCATTTATTAACGAGCCGAGTCGAGTCGAGTTCGAGCTAGGCTTGTTTACTAAATTCTCAGATCGTATTTAATACATTCATTTTGTATGTCGTGTATGGTACATGTGATTGATGCAGCGATAAAAAAATAATCAAATGTTCAACATTAATTAATCTTATATTATAATTTTTAGGTGTCATATTGTTTAGTTAATAAATTTTAACTAGTTCAAATCATGTTATTTCATAGTATCGAAACAATTTTGTACATAATTTTTTTATATAATTAAAAATAAGGCATATTTTTCTTACATGTTCAACATGTTAAACTTCACATGATGTGAGATATATAATTTAACAATCCTATGGTTTATGAAAGTCCAAATTAGATCGATTAGTCCATAAGTCAGTGATCAAGTTGGCCCTCAAAACCACAATGTTGAGACATCTCATGAGCTCTAAATGAGCCAACTCACGAGTTGAGCTCAACAAGCCACCGAGTCGAGCTAGCTCGCGAGCTTCACGAGCTGAACAAAGCTAGGCTCAAGCTTGGCTCGTCAGTAAACGAATCGAGTTTCGAACGAGCTTTTCCCGATTCGAGCCTCGAGTAGCTTGGCTCATTTGCAGCCCTATCGAAAATAGGCAATGTGCTAGTCCTAATGGCAATGTTTGGACAAGCTATCTTGGCACAATTATTTGGAACTCACAAATGTGTCTAGTTAGAGTTAAAGATTAGGATGAGATAGGTAATGAAGAATTAAAATATATGTGGGCAGCTATGGTACTTAACTACAATTGCTTCAATTTGAAATATGCTCTTAATTATCATGTTAGGAAAATTGGCAACCACTTACAACGCTTGTAATTTTCTATAGGAATATTGTACAAATCCTTATATGGAATCTACAAAGGAGGATGTATTTGACAATATAAATGATACTTGGAGATCTAAGATGAACATAAATATGTGAAGGGTTGTGACGACTTGGAAGAAATTCTCGGAGATGTTCTAGAATTCCTGAATGAAGAAGATTGGGAGTGGGTTGTGAAGGAGAAGTTCCTTTCTATTGATTTTTTGGGTTAGATAATCTTACTCTACCACTTTCTCTAATTTCTTGTTGCTGAGTTGCATTGCAAAGGAACTTTTATATCATAATAAATTTACTCAAATGAGTCAAAGATAAGTAAGGTAAATGAAGCAAAAAGAGCAAAGTAAACAATGAATCGTCACAGTGGTAGGAGACCAGTTCGACAAATCAGGTTGGACTTGGTAATTGCATCCGTTAACAATAATGTTCATATAATCAGTTTTCTAACTTCAACATCTAGATAGTAATTTCATCTAAGGTTAAAAGAGTTCAATCCAATTCGAAGGTTTCACAAGATATTTTTTTTTACAAAGGATATTGAATTTCCATTAATTTAAGCAAGATCCAACCATTACATGAGAGGTGCAACCAAATCAAGGATTTGCAACCATTGCGAGGGAGGTTGGTTTTTAGCGCAGGATCTGGCCACCCAATCCGCTTTTGAGTTAAACTTTCGACTAATGTGCTTTATCCTGATCTGCGGGTTGGTTTCCAGAAGTAGCTTGATCAGACCCAGCCTTGTCGCCGCTCGCCATGGCCATGTCCTGGGGGGTCGCTCGATAGCATGAACCAACTGCAGGCAATCAGTCATCACCAGGCAGGGTGCTGTGAGCGAGGCAGCCACACGTGAGGCCTCCAGCAGTGCCAAAACTTCTGCTTCAATAGGGGAGAAACAATGCAATGACCTAGCTTTACCATCACACACTTGACCATGGTTGTTCGAAATAATGACGCCATACGCCGCCTTCTGGGAATCGTCGAAGAACGATCCGTCGCAGTGTACTTCAAAGAAATGAGTACCTGGCGGTGGTGAAGAGTGCTCAGGGGGTGGAGTGGGCTGAGTTGATGGGGAACCATTGTGGTGGATCCGAGGGCATGTGGACCATTGGAGGTGATCCGATGCTGCTTTACTGATGGTGGCTGGGGGTCAAGGAGGAGTTCCCCGAAAGATCTTCTCATTTCTTGCTTTCCATGTCTGCCACAATAGGAAGATGATCTTTTGAATTGAGCTAATCGGGTACATTTGGCGTAGAGAGTCCAGCCACACCAGGACAGAGGACATAGGGGTCGGCCTGGGCAAGGAATGCCATTCTTGGTTCCACCCTTCGGCAGCATGGGGGCAGATGAAAAGGCAGTGGAAGATCGACTCGGACGAGCAGCCGCAGATCGGGCAGCTTTTCGAGGGTGAGCACTTCCTGGCAAAGAGATTTTCCTTGGATGCCAAGGCCCCTCTGGTCACTTTCCAGATGAAGAATTTCAGTTTCGGTGGGATCGAAAGGCTCCAAAGCCATCTCCACCTTTTTTTGCTCATTTCTGAGATTTCCTCGGCCTGCACTTGGGATTGTCTGGTGCTGTTATGAAAGTGGATGAAGGCTGATTTGACCGTGAAAGTTCCCTGCTCTGTGAACCTCCATGCCCAAAAGTCATCAAGAGAATCCGGTCCAATCGGAATAGCTGCCACCTGTTTCATGTCATTCTGACTGAGGAAATTAGCCAGCAGGTCAAACTTCCATTCCCTTGACACCTCATCAATCCACGAGTCGACAGTGTCATTATCATTCCATTCGAATTGGAGGAGTTGCCCTGCTCTGTCGAATCTCCAGGGATCATGAAAAATTCTTGTTGATTTACCATTGCCAATGACCCGAATTAGCCCTTGTCTCATCCATGATTTTGCTTCACACAAGCTACACCAAATCCACGAGGCTTTGCTGCCTTTTCTTCCATTCAGGAAATCCGAATTGGGGAAGTAAATGCTTTTCAGTACCTTAACCCACAAGGCATCCTTGTTAGTGAGGATTCTCCAAGCCTGTTTGGCCAAGAGTGCCATGTTGGCCAAGTGTGGAAAGGTCAAAATCCGAGCCCTCCCTCTTCTTTTGGTGCGTACAGAACATGTCCAGCCCTCCAATGAATAGTTCGTTTCACCAAGGAGCCCAGCATAGAGTCCATTTTCCTCGTTGTGCATTTTGGAAGGAGGAACAGGCTCATAATGTAGGTAGGAACTGCTTGAAAAACCGCTTTTAGTAAAACTTCTTTTCCCCCTGGTGAGAGGAGGAGGCTCTTCCATGCCTCTCCTTTTGATTCCATTCGTTGGAGGAGGTAATTGAATGTTTCTTTTTTCGATCTGCCCCAAACTGTTGGAACTCCCAGATAGCTGGTATGGTTGTTCCTAGGATCAAATCCTGCATCTTGGATAATCTCCCTTTGGTCTTCACCTGTGACATTGTGGCCAAAGAACATAGATGACTTGTCCCTATTCACTTCTTGACCGGTGATCGCTCCATATTGTTGAAGGATTTCCAAAATCTTCCCTGCTTCCTCTTTTGAAGCCTCTCCAAAGATCACTGTATCATCTGCGAATAAACAGTGGGAGAGAGTAGGGCACGTTCTGTTAAACTTAATGTCCTTGATCTCATTATTCAGAACCGCCTTTTCAACCAGGAAGGACAAAGCATTCGACATCAAAATGAAGAGGAGGGGGGACAGGGGGTCCCCTTGTCGGATACCCCTAGATGGTTTGAAGTCGCCAGTTGGCTCTCCATTGATGAGCACATTGAAGGAAACTGTGGAGATACAGGCAACAATCCATCCACACCACACTTCGTTGAAGCCATATGCCTTGAGAAGGGAGATGAGGAGATCCCATTCAACCAGATCATAGGCCTTCCTCATATCGAGCTTCATCATCATCTCCTTTCGATTTCCTGATTTTGTTTTTTTGAAATGGTTGAGGACCTCATGCACAATAATGATGTTATCTTGTATTTGCCTCCCTCCTGTGAAAGCTGCTTGGAGTTCATTGACCAATTCTGGCATAAGAGGTTGTAATCTGTTGGACATGATTTTTGTGATGACTTTATACCTGAAATTGCAGCAACTTATCGGTCTGAATTGGCTGATTTGTTCGGGTGCTTCCACTTTGGGGATGATGGTGATGAAAGTATCATTCCAATTCTCGGGCATTTGACCCATGAGAAAAAAAAACTGGTGATCTCATTGCAGAAGGAATCCTCAATTGTATTCCAGTACTTCCTGAAGAAAAGTCCTGGGAAGCCATCTGGTCCTGGAGCCTTGTTTGCTCCCAGTTGGAAGACTGTCTGCGAATTTCTGTCTTGTCAACTGGTGCACACAGGCCAGTATTGTATTCCTCTGTCACCAACCTGGGAAAGCCCTCCAAAATTCTCGGATCAAAGTGACTGTCTTTGGATGTGAAGAGGTTTTGGTAATAGTCAGAGGCATGAATCTTCAAATCCTGGGCATTATCAATCCAGATTCCATCCGCGCCTATCAGCTTGGTGATGCCATTCCTGTTTTTCCTTTTAATGGTGCTGGCATGAAAGAAACCTGAGTTCTGGTCCCCTTCCTGAAGCCAGGAAATTCTGGATCTTTGTGCCCAAAAACAGTCTTCTGAGGTCCAGATGGATTCCAGTTCTCGCAGGAGGTTCCTCTCCTCCAACACTTTGTCCGGGGAGTCACTTGCCCCTTGTAAGGATTGGAGTCTAACTCTAATGTCCCTTTCTCTTTGTAGTTTCCTTCTTCTATCTGTTCTGGCCCAAATCTGGAGTTCCTTCTGGCAATCGAACAGCTTGTTGTTAATATTCCCCCCTCTCTGCCATCTATCCAAAATAATACGACAGCATTCTTCACTCTCCCTCCACCTCTTGCCGAATCTAAAGGGGATGCAGTGAGATTGACCAATAGGGTTCAAGTCAACCCTGATTGGGCAGTGATCTGACTCGACAAAGTCCTCATGATACACCGTAGCTGATTCAAAGGTTGTTCTCCAGGTCGTCGAGCAGATAGCCCGATCGAGTCTTTCTCTGATCAGCTCGGTTCCCTGTTGCTTATTGCTCCAAGTGAACACTTGACCTGAGAACCCAAGATCAACCAGAGCATTTCTGGCCATGAAGTACTTGAAAGGTACAACATTCTCATTCCTTAAAGGGCATCTTCCTTGTTTTTCAAAAGCGGAGATAGCAACATTGAGGTCTCCAACCACAAGCCACCTCTCACCCTGGATCGCCCTGAGTGCAGTAAGTCGATCCCACAACTGTCGTCTCTCTACCGATGTGGTAGGAGCGTGAACAAAAGTACAAAAGAAACTAATCCCTTCCTTGCTAATCCTGGTGTCCACGAAGGACTTACATGACTCTAACACACACACATTAACGTCATCTTTCCACCATAGGGCAAGGCCACTACCTTCCCTCTCTGGACCGACATACTCTGCATGATCGAACTTCATCATTCTTCTTCTTCTTTCCATGAACGCATCCTCCTTCCTCGTCTCCATAAGTAAAAGGATCGAGGGGCCAAATTGTCGACAGAGCATGCAGCAGTAGCTCCTTGTAAGGGGTTGGCCGAACCCCCTACAATTCCAGCTAATGAATCTCATTCTTGTTGAGGCGGCTTGAGGCTTGCCGCCGACGCCCTCGGAGTGGTTGATTCCCTTTCCTCGGACTGATATTCTTCCGCCGTGATCTCCGCCAGGCTCTTCCTTCTGATGATGTGCTTCCTCCTCTGATAGGTCCTCTTACTTTCTCCTGGAACAAAGGACATAGAACTAAAAGACATGTTAGATGGGGCTTCCTGTTGCTGTGCAGGGGCCGCTGGGCTGACTCTGGTTTCCGGTTTCCGAGTTCGGTAGAGAAACCGATGGGTTCTGTTGCCCGATCAGTGGACTGGGCTTGGTAGCTGCTCCCTTGGTTGGTGCTGCCTTGATTCAGTTGGGCGAGTAGAGTTGGGCCTTGATGGGCTTCGGTGTGACTTAAGGAAGGGATAGCCAGAGAGAGGGATTGGCCCATCTCAAAAAGGCCCACCATCTTGTCCCTGTTAGCTTCTTTCTCTTCTAGGTCGAGACTTTTTTGCATAGCTAACTTAAATGAGAATAAATTCATAATTTGTGGTCCTTGTGAAGATCATTTTCTTCTTATAAAGAGAAGTTGGAAGAGCTCCAACTGTAGCAGAGCTGGTGTTTGATACTTATAAAGAAGAGGATATAATAAAGACAAGGTGGCAAATGCAAGACATGTAATTATTATCTACTTTACATTTTAACTTGGTTTGTTTAGGGATAATTCCCTAAATACACATAAAACTAAAACAAATTCCTAAACTACCACACTTATAAAAAAATTTCCCAAAATACCTAAGTTTGGAGTGGTTCGAGTTTGAGGAACTCGAACGACTAACCGGTTCGAGTGTAGGAGACTCGATCTAGTCGTAGATCGATGATATAAGCCTCGAACTATGTGGGGCTGAACTCGAACCACTTCTTTGAAATTTCCAACCACCTTAACTTTGTGCTCGGTTATCCGATCGTAGCAAACTTTTTTTCATTTCGCATAAATTTTCGAGGACTACAACTTTTTTAATAGAAATATTTTCAGAATATATGTGAAAATTTGAAAATTAAAGTTAAAGTTACTCCCAAAACCCCTTATATTAAAAACTATTCCTATTTTGAAAATTTATTCCTAGTAAATGTTGTAGTACTAAAAAAATTATGCAAAATAAAAATAAAAAAACTTTGCAACGTTCGGATTGCGGAGCACAAAGTTATGATCCTCCAAAGTTTGAAAAATTCGAAAATTTGCTCGTTTACGGGTAGCAAATGACGTTTTCTAGGAAGATAGCCATCCAAAAATTTCTCGTTTGGAAAAATATTGCTCTTTTGGCAGAAATTTCCTATATATAAAAAAATTTCCCGCGCCTTCGCCCCGAGAAAATGTCATTTGTTACCCCTAAACGAGCAATTTTTCGATTTTGCCAAACTTTAGAGGATCATAACTTTGTGCTCCGTAATTCAAACGTCACAATGTTTTTTTTTTTGCATAATTTTTTGAATACTACAACATTTACTAGGAATAAATTTTCAAAATAGGAATAAATTTTAATATAAGGGGTTTTGGGAGTAACTTTAACTTTAATTTTCACATTTTCACATATATTCTGAAAATATTTATATTATAAAAGTTGTAGTCCTCAAAAAGTTATGCGAAATGAAATTTTTTTTTGCTACGATCGGATAACCGAGCACAAAGTTAAGGTTGTTGGAAATTTAAAAGGAGTGGTTCGAGTTCACTGAACTCGAACCACTTCAGCCCCACATGGTTCGAGACTTATATCATCGATCTACGACTAGATCGAGTCTCCTACACTCGAACCGGTTAGTAGTTCGAGTTCCTCGAACTCGAACCACTCCAAACTTAGGTATTTTGGAATTTTTTTTATAAATGTGGTAGTTTAGGAATTTGTTTTACTTTTATCTGTATTTAGGGAATTATCCTGTTTGTTTACATATTGTTCACTACGATGTATTGTTCTGTTTTGGATAGGTTAAATGGTTGAGACAATAGAAGCTAATCTGGACTTCACTTCACTAGAAGTGGTGGAAGCGAATATCGGATAACAAAAACTGTGGCCATGTGATTTGTTTTGGAGGGGGCTTAAAGCCTATGCATTTGAAGGTGCAAACTTCGACAAGGAATGAGAGGGAGGCAAATTTGGAAACGAAACTAAGATGATCAGATGAACGAAATTAAGCTCTTGAACATACTTTTAGTGGTCTAACAAATACGGTTTCAGAACAAGCTGGAGAACTAACTAATTTGCAGGCCTAAATGCAAAGGTTGCAAAAAAATGTTCGAAAATAGTCACAATAGACAAAATTAGGTAAGTATAATTACATCTCCCTAACTACTTCTTGCTTTTGTATTGTTGTTGTTCCTTGTGTTTGAATGAATACTTTACTATTGGCTGTGTGTGCTATTGATGGTTTCAAGTACGTGAATTATTCAACAAATCACAGCAATGGCTGTGCTGTAGAAGATTTGAATGTTGTTGTTGATATGAATGTTAGGAACTAAACGAATGTTGCTTCGAAGAATGTTGGAAAAAGTTGGTTTAAATAGAATTAAGTTGGAAGACTAAATCTCATTATTGTATTTTCTTTTCAATGATTTACGCGTGCAACACATAAAGGAGGAAACACAAGAAGACTGAGCCCTTCCATACACATTTGTAAAGTGCAGTGGTAATTTTGTTTTGGCCTTTTGGGAAGGAAGGATATCAAGTTCTTAATGTTATTTTGTACTTGCATTGACATTTTTGTGGATGGTTTGGTCACGTGATAACATCAATAACTACCATTTAGTTAGAATGCTACAAGAGCTAAGCTTATGTTAATATTTGAGTTGATATGATTTTCTTATCATAAATTGGATTAAACTTGCAATTTCCAAACATCAATCATGTGATTAGAGTATGACTAATTATAGGTAACGATCATGAGATTCATCGTGAAACCCCATTCTTATAGAAGCTTACCAACGTTCTTATTCTCATGGCAAAAGAGTTCAATCCCCTGACTAATTGTAGATCATGATAACGAGATTTCCAGTGATCACTTTGAGAAACCTCGTTGTTATATTGAAGCATTCCATCGAGCATATTCCCGTGGCTAAAGAATTCGCCAATTGTCATGGGATTTTTCTCGTTATTGAATCTTTTCAGTCATGGGATATACCGTGAAAATTTATATTTAATCACATGCCTTCTTGCCACGGGAAAATACCCTCGACAAATGGAATTAGTCATGGGATTTCGGTCTTTGGTCATGGGGAATCTCGTGATGAAATGTGAATTTTCCTGTAGTGGGATTTGGAATTGGACTCGGGGAAGGGGAGATAGATTGGAGAAGTGATTGCATGTTGTCGTCCAAATTAGAGGTGCGTGTCAGTGAAGGTGGGTCAATTGATCAGAGCTCCCCATCGTCATTGTCGCACACATGGAATTTGGAGAGCTCTTTGCCTCCTTCGTCATCGCCGCGGTCAGAGGATTCGGAGACAGTCGTCGTTGGTTGTCGTACCGTGTTGTGCAGAGGGAAGGATTAGAGAGATCGAGAGTAGATTTGGGTATTTCGAGTCGTTGAGAGGAGATTGAGGGAGATGGTGTTCTAGAGGATACCGTGATTCTTCTGAACGAAAACAAGCATAGAGTAGCGTACAACAAAGACATCAATTGTTAGCTAGACTTGCAGTTTTTGGCTTCTTCTTCCTAGTGCAAGGCATAAATGACAATGCATGAAATGGAAGCAGAGAGAAGAGGGAAAGTCAGAGCTTTGGCTTCTTCTTCCTCCTCTCCCAACTGGTAGCCGTGCTAGCTACCTACGTGGCCTTAATTCATTAGAGAAAATGTGAGATGGTTACCAAAAGGTTTGGAACTAGATGGGTGTGTGGTTTTTTGGGGATTCTTGTTGAAACATAACACGAAACAGAACATGGACAGAATGCTAATTTCATTCATGTCGAGTTCATACCCAAATTTCATTCATTCCGACTAAAGTAAACAAATAGAGACAAGAGCCTGTCCGCTGCTGCACTGCCACCCAAAACCATACGAAAACGAAAAAAATTAATTCAAGATAAAGCGACGGCAGGCTCTAATTAAATAGGACAGGACAACAGAGTATTTTAACTCCACCAGATAAGTCAAACCAACGCCATAGCTCGCACAAGAAGACAACATTTGTCTTTGACAAATTCTTTTGAATGCAACTTTTTTGTCCGTTGCTAATTGTAGACAAAAAAGGTGAGAAGCTCTTATTTTAAGGAAAAACAAGGAAAATTTCAAGTACGTAAAGTCATATTTACGATATAGTATTGTACATTTGTACTAGTTAATAGTTATTCGACAAAAAAAAAAAAATTGTTTATCGAAGTCTTTTAGTAGGTAGTTTTTTTCAGTATGAAATAGTTGAAGTAGGCGGTTTGTCCAGTATGTATGAAACTGTTGAATAACGAATTACCCAATAAATTATGTAAAACAACAAAACATCTTACTGCTAAATTTTTGGGTACAATCCCGATACGATTTTACTATTTGTCCCTCAACAGACGATCTTTGGTTCTCACTTGAGAACTTTAGTTTTAATTAGTTTCTTTATTTTTGTTTTAGGATAAATTACAAGTTTGGTCACTGGGATTACTAAAGGAATTCACGTTAGCCGCTAAAAATATTTTATTTCATTCATGGTCACTAGAATTAGTTAAATATTCCAAATTTAGTTACTCTCTGTTAGTTTTCGTCGGTCTTCATTAACACCATCAATTTTTTACTGATGTGCCTAACAAAAAATGTCTAGTCAACAAAAAATGCCACGTCATAAAGCTCGACCCACCATTTCATAAAACCCAACCCTTTTAATTCCCCCAATCGACGAATAGTTGATGAAGATTGCCTCTCCAGTCGACGAATTGTAGAACCCTCCTCCATAGGTGAGCAACAATTTTGGCAGCTACCGATCGACATGTAACATCAAGGATGGTCTCCGTCGCATACCTCTGTTAGTGCAAGTTGACCAGGTTGAGATTTGGATAACCAGAGAGCGCGTCAGTAAGAAGGGATACCGTCATCGCTAATGATTCATCCTCCTTCGCTGGCAGGGCGCTGATCTTCTTAGTGGAGGACATGTTTCTTGGTCATGATCTTCTTAGGAGTTCTAACCATGTAAATTCGATGATTTGGTTAATCCAATTGTTTTATTTTTATATGTATGATGCTTGATTTCCTCTATTTCGTAATTTGTTGATTCAA